TTTGTATTTGAGCAAACATAATCAAAATGACCTAAAACATAAAAGACTTTTAAAAAAAGTTCTCCTACACCTTTATTAAACCAAACTTTTTGAAAATTCAAAGAACAAATTGCAGATACTCCAAAAATCCTGCCAGAATATGATGCCATCTTTAAGGGGTATGTCACAATTAATACCTGTTCTCATTACAATTTTGAAATCTGTCCTTAAGTTGCTGTGCTTGTGATGAACATTATAGCAGGAGTTAAGTTTCTAAATTTGTTCAGCAGCAGTGAAGGCTAAGTGTACATTTTTGGGCTGCAAGCTGGTTGTTTAATGGATTGGAGATGGCAGAAAACTTTATAAGGAGGGTGCAGCCAACATTTTATTTATTTACTTGGTTTAAGATTTAATCTATCTACAAACCCAGTCTAATTGGAGGAAGGGTAAGGTGTGCAAGGGTGACTGCTGGGGGATGCTGGTGGCAGGAAATGGAATTAGGAATGGGTTGGATTGGAACAGATTGCTGCCTGCAGAAGAAAGGTGATAGAAACTGACTTTCCTTACTCCTGCTTTTTCTGCCAATTCTCAGAGCCACATGAAAATGCTCCATGCAGAGCTGAGGAGAACCTGCTGAATGGAGAAAGTGATGTCTGCGGGGAAGGTTATGGAAAATACCGGGGTCTTAAGTAGAGGGAATGCTTAGTTCCCTGCTCCTTAATTTCTATTATCTTCCCTCCTCCCCACCCTCAACTTCTTGTGCCACAGTCCATTCCTTCAAGGAAACATTTGCAGGGGATTCTGGGAACTGGTAGGGGGAGGAAAGGTTAAAGTCAGCTCCCTCTTATTCCCTTTTACAGGCAGTTATCTAGATCAGGCCAAGTTCATATACAATAGAAAGCTTTTATCTGTCAATGGTTTATATGAGAAATTGCATAAACCTTAACAGTTGAGTGTTATGGATGTTCAACACTGTGTTATAATTCATGGTCCGTAGGTTACTCACATGACAGGCTAAGAAATCTTTTATTCTAAGACTCTAAGAGCTGTATTTGGTAACCCTATTAAAAAAACCCCTCCCAAGATGATAGCAACTGAAAGTGTGCAAGATTCACAGGCAGAAGAAATTAGCAGGAAAGCTGTTTCAGCAAGAATTAGTGCCCAGTATTTTAAGTTTCAAGGAATGTATATGCATCCTGGCACTCCTGTGTGGAAGGTGTTTTGTGAGACAGGACTGACAAAATTGCACATGCTACAATCACTCAGCACTGCTTTGTGTGCAAGTAAAAGTAAGAAGTCTGCTCAGTATATTTTCATGGACCACTTTAACTATATGAACACTGAATACTTATTTCTTCCTGTGTCCGCATTTTCTTACAAAGTTCAGTGGGCCTGCTGCATCAAAATGTTTAATTTTGAGGAAGCTCTTTCATTGGAGCACATGAAAAATATGACATCAAAATCTGAGCAGCCATATAGATTTTTTGGAAAAGAGCTGCAAGTAAAGCATATTGCTGCTGCCGCTGCCATCCAGCTTCCTCAGCTCAGGAGTGTTCTCTGTATATTGTATCCAGTTGTACCTATCCATTAATACAAGGTGTTGGTTCCATCACAAGCCTTACAAATGAGAATGGGCCAGGGAAGACAGTTTTCCCTGATCCTCCCTTTGTTGTGAGGTTGAGGTAGGTGTGGCTGAAAGTCAGTGACTCACCCAAAGTCACTAGTGAATTTAATTGCCAACTAGGGAAGAACCCTGGTCTGTCAAGTCCCAATCCAGTTTTCTAACCAGAATGCCATACTGATTCTTTCCCTGAAGTTTCCAGTATCAGCTTCCCCACCCAACCCACCCATGCTCCAGGAATACAAAGGGAAGTAAGAAACAGTGAAAACATCTTCCCTCTTTATTAGAAGTCTCCACTGGATCCAGGACTTTTCTGTGACTGAAATGGCACCAATGGATCCAAGCAGTGGTATCCATCTCTATACAAATCTTTCCCAAGACTCCCTCATGAAGGAGGCTGTTAGTTTGTAAAACAAGAGTGAGAAATATTTATGGCTCTTACCTCCCAAGTACCAACTAAAAGAAATTAGGGAAACAAGAAAATAGCACAGTGTTTATTCTTTCAGGAGGTGAGACAGTACATAGAACAGGTTCACATGCAACAGAGTATTCCCTAGGTGGGGATCTGCTTGATAACATGTGTTCTGCTTGATAACATCAGATATAGCACCTAGCAAAAGAGAGAGAGAGAGAGAGAGCGCGCGCGCACGCGCGCGTGAGCATGTTCAGGGATCCTCTAGAACAGCATTCAAAATAGCATGAAACCATGTATCTTGCAGGGGGCGGGGGAAGTAAGCATGTGCTTCCCAGGCTTTTCATTCATGCATTCCAGCTGCAAGTTTTGCATGCGGCTGATAGCATCACAGTTAATAAGGTGTGTACTAATTTACAAACAAGTCAGGAACATAAGGTAGGTCTCCTCTATGCACTATATCTGTTTACAAAATAGGCTCACAGTAGATTTGTGTTTTTTGCTCTGTTCCAGTAAGAGGAATAAACAGGATTATTGTATCCTCATTTGAGATGCACATATTTCCCAGAATTGGATTTGGAATAACACATGCAGTGTCAAACAGACACTTACTGTTGTGCATACATCTTTGGAAAAGGTCCTCTAGATGCATGTGCATATATATTTGCGTAATTGAACATTCTTGATCGGATGCCTCATTGTTATTGGAGTGTATGCAAACAGACATTTAAAAACTATTCTTTTGTGCCCATGTGTGCCCGATACACATATCAAGTATTGTTTTTTCCTGAAATTGCCAAATGCATTCAGTTCCTATCACAATTGTATTATTTCCTCACCACTTTTGATAAGAAGATAGTAAATTAGTAATGAGACCAATCTATTGATATTTGCATGCTTTGTAATCAACACAAAGGTTCTATTGATTTGTAAAGTTGTAAAACCTTTTGACATGTTTAACAAACAGTCAGTGGGTTAGTTCTGATAATCACTGCATTTACAGCCCAGCTGGATTACTATGTGTACCATTCTGAGTATTCATCCCTTGTTGAGGGTTGCCATAGTTTGCCACGTTGTGTAAGCCAAGGCAGCATAGGTTATTTGAGGATTAAATAACAGACTATGGGTTAGGTTCAGATGTAACAGACAGCAGCCAGGGTTGGAGAATGCTTTGTTATTTGTTCCACCTGGTACTACTTGTTTATGGTTAGCCAGGGTTTGTTTAAACCAGTTTGTCAGTCAGTTAGAAAGCTGTTTTGGTCAAGTGAGACATCATAAAGCATAGTGTGATGTGAAGTCTGAACTGAGCCTGAATATATTTAATGGTTCACATGTGAATACTGAATTTACCAATTTTTCTAATGAAAATTCCAAATAATTCTTTATGATATAGATGGAAGTACTTGCGGCAAAACCTACACAACAGTAGGTTGGCCATGCTTAGTCTACAGTCTGATAAAGTATGTATGTAATAAAGGTTACCAACTTGTGCCAACCCCTCCACATCCTATTTAACCTCACTAAAGTTCAAAAAGATGTTTAAGCATTGCAAAAACTTCTAGGAAAGAAGTTTGGATTTACTTATATGTGTCAGCAGGCATCTCCCTGAGCTCATGGTTCAGCCACCATAGATAGAGATGTTAGTAATTGGATGGCATACAAAGTAAGTAAGTAAATAAATAAATGGCATACTTCTCTGAGCATAGTTGCTCTTATAGCTGTACCTGAGAACTATTTTTGGCTGGAATGCCCCTTTTCTGGCTTATTTCATATTCCTGGTTGTTTTTAAAAGGTCTCACTGAGTTCTTCAGATAATAATAAGAAAACAGTCAAGGAAGGTCCATGTTTCCATGTCTGAAGACTCAACAGCAGGAAGCCCAGGAGGGAAGCAGGCAGACAGGGTCAAGACAGGGATTATTATCTTGTCCTTAGCATATGTGTTTCTCAGGAAAAAGTTTAATAAATTGAGCTGTTGTGGAAGTGATTGCTTTCACTACAGCGTGGATCTTTTAGAGGCACTTAAAGCTTTTCATGGAGCAAAAAAGAAGTAGCATTTTTCTACATTTAATCACAGTCATCTCATTTAATTCAAAGTGGCATATGATGCATGGTGTTTGCTAGTGTCATTTATAGCATGGGTGTGCTATATTCAAATCATACTTTTTCCTATATTTTCCTCACAAGGTTAGATGAGGCTTATTTTCTCAAACATAAAAATAATCGCTCCATCTTTTCAGGAAATCTGCTAGCACTGTAGGGCAGCTGCTAGACAAACGGCTGTATAGGGTTACATGAATAATTTTGTGAAGAGCAGTACTAATGATTTGCTGATCTGGGAAGAATTTGTTTCAGCTTACATGTAATGCATTCCTCACTGTATTTCAATGCTATTATTGTGAGTCTAAAACTAGATTAGATTATTTTACCACTGCATGTTAAGTGATGCCATATTGAGTAACACTAAATTAATCACCCTCTATTACAAATGCTTCCACCTTCTTAAACAGTAAGATAAGGTTATTATGTATTTTTGGTCCTCTTTCTTATAAATTGCATGTCATCTATGTATCACCAATGCATGCTTTCAAGATACTATTTTTGTCCTTTTTTCAAGTACATGGAATAAGTTTGTTTTCATTTCTTTTTAAAAAAATCACTATTGAACATTAACATTTCTTTTTCCCCCAGCTGAGTTTATAATATAATTGATTGCTAAATACCAGTTACTTTTTTATGCTTTTATTAATATAGAAGAAAATCCAAGTAGCATTTTTGTAATGTGAGAAAAATTAGGGTTTTGTTTTGTACAATATGGGTTCAGTTTTTATTTTTTAAATTGTTGCTTTTTTAATTTTACATTACTACTACTACTACTAAGGGATGTAAGGTTTGTGCCATGTAGAGTGCTAGTTTGCATGCATTCATTTAAATACTAAAAAACTGTAGTACTGCTCGATCCATATCTGACTGCTAGGTTTCAATTGACAGCTGAGGATTTGTGACTGGACCATGAATCAAAACGGCAGGCATTTATACCCCAGTGCCAATGAGGATACATTGGGAATTACTTGGCAAAGGTAAAATTTTAATTATTTCCAAACCTAAACTATCTTGGGTTCTTCCTTATCTGTTTTAACTGGCCTCCAGGAATATATTTGTTAAAATCTTAACTAGAAAATATCTCTGTAAAAACTCTTGAGTTACACATTTTTGGGAAGCTGAAATGAATCAGTTTAGCATTTGAGGCACTTAATGCTTATGGTCAAATATAACTTTTGAAACTTTGTGAATGAAACAAAATGCTAAACATTTACAGCTGCAAGTTTATGTGGAGAAACATATATTGTTAAAAAAAAGTGACAAGTATGGAAAGTGTCTAATTTGGGAAAATGTTTATGTATAATACTCAGATAAATAAACATTTTAACAAGTCCAGTGCTTGATATGAATTTAAAACATTCATATGTCCACTGAGGTAAGGCAAAAGCCACATGTATTAAACTCAAGTACCAATAATTAGCATTAAACAAATCAACTTAGTAGCTAATTTGAAATTACTTTGAGATGTACTGAATAGATGTGTGCGATAGAAAATGGATAACTGTTTATTCAGGCATATATCTAAGTTAACTCTAATTGTGGGGTGGTGAGGGATCTGTTGTCTGGACCCTTCTTTACAAACCGGTGTCTGACTTGATTCAATAAGGATTTAAAAAAATAAATTTCTCCTTTTCCTCCCTCTGCAGAGGTATCCCCAACCCTCAAGAATAGGTTTTCTGAGCCTTGGGGAATGTAGTGGAGAGGAGTGGGAGAGGCCCATTGGCAAATGGACCTTTGCTCAGACTTCTCCAGATTCAACAAAAGATCTTGAATAAACTGCAGTGGATAGTCTGTTGATCACTAAAGAGGCCTATTTTAGCATGTGGTCTTGTAATAGTCCTAATTGCAAAGTTTGACATGAAACAGCAGTAAACATTGCTAATATTATCTGTACCAAAATTTCCTAGCAAATATACCAATAAACGAATGAAATAATACTGTTAAAGGCCAAAAAGGATTGGCTTGTTTCAACTGCCACATGGTTGGTAGGAATTACACATTTTTGTTGCAAAGACTTGTTAATGGCTAGCTTTCCACCTCAAGAGATCAGACAGCAAAAATAGTTTATTTAGGTTCTCTTTAATTATTCAGTAGTGATGCACAGCAGTAATGTTCAGCCATAAAGTGTTTATTCTGCATGTGACTTTATTTTACTGTTGAAATTAATATAGAATTCTTGATTTAATGTAAAAAGATAATTTTTATAATTTATTTGCAGTTATAAGAGCTAGACATTTAAATGTGGTCATGTCTAACTTTTCCTGAACTGTTTTGTCTCTCTGTGTGTGTATATGTGTGTTTAAACAAAGAGCAGCCACAAAAAGGTTGTGGGCAGGAGAAGGAAGCTGCTTAACTCTTTCCTTTTGGTTTGCAGGGAATGCTCAAATTCTCTCTCTCTCTCTCTCTCTCTCTCTCTCTCTCTCTCTCTCTCTCTCACACACACACACACACACACACACACACACACACACACACCTTTTTTCCTCAAGGAGATTTTGAACAGGGAAGCAGTTAAGCATCTCCTTCACATACTCTTCTTCATTGAAGCTTTCTGTGTCTGCTTTTTGTAGTAAAAAAATCAAAGGAGAAATACACATGATACGTGTATTATGTAATATGTCCTAATTGTGAAGGATATGCTTAGTCTTCTACCAACATGATTTTTGCGGCAGGTCATTCTCTTCATAGCCACATGCAAATAAAAGTTAGATACTTAAAGAATCTCTGTCATCAGTTTCAAGTTGACTGTGTGGCTGAAATCTGTATGATTTATTGTTATGATTGCCAGAAGTAACAAGCAATGTTTTATAAACAGGGTATACTATTCAGTTTGTTGATTTTTTTATCTAAACTTAGATGTAAAATGAAAGTCATGGGATCATGTAGTCCAAAGTCCTGTCTTTAGGTATTTTTTACTCATGCCCAGTTTACTCTTGCTAAGTTCTCTGAGAACATTTTGCAATTTATTTATGAACTGCTTTTATAATTCAGGTGTTCCCTCTTAACATTTAACCTATATCTATTTATGTGGGGTTTGTGTCCTATTGTTTCCAGAAGCAACAAACAGTTTTCCCCCATAATTTGTATTGTTGTCTTCAAATATTCAATCAGTTGACCTTTCCGTCCGTCCGTCCTTCCTTCCTTCCTTCCTTCCTTTTTTAACTTAAAATTCTGTCAACTTCAAAACTTCCCCAATAAGCAATCTTTCCCAACTTTCCCAGTATACTTTGCTTTCTTAGTCCTTTTATTCTCCTTCCCTTGTTTCTTTTCAATTTGTCATTATTCTGCATTGTGGTGCCTATAACTGGGCATAAATGCTGACCTTACCAACATGGGTCTTTCATTCATTCATTCATTCAATTTATAAACCACACCAATAGTCCTATATAGTACTCTCTGGATGGTGAACAATTGAAAGCAATAAAAACAAATAAACTACACAAATAATACAAAAATAGTTTTGACAATACATAGTCCCGGAATCTTGGATAGGATCATTCTGTTAGCAAACTGAACTAAAATATCATTTTATACTGGAGTACCATACTGATCAGTTATTTTAAAATTACTCATTTTAAGTACAGTCTCAAGTGTGCTGATTTTTCATCTATCTTAATGTCTAGTTCTTTCCAATTGTATATAAAGCTAAAGCTTTTTATCCAAGGGATGGATGGATGGATGGATGGATGGATGGATTTGTTGCGTTTCTATCTCAGCATTTTTCCTTTCGAGGAACTCAAGGCAGCTTACAGAATTCACCTCCTGCTTCCAACCTTATTCTCATAGTAACAAACATGTGAGGTAGGTTGGGCTGAGAGTCTGAGTGGCGCAAAGTCATCCATTGAGTTCCATGACTGAGTTAGAGCGACTAGAATCCAGATCTCCTGAGTCCAAGTCCAGCACCCTTGACCACAACACCTCACTGGCTCTCAAAACCAGGACCTTTCATGTATGAGATGAATGTGATCACCACCACGCTACAGAAAGTGTTGAAGAGACTCAATGTAAAACTTGGCCCTGCAGAATGCCACTTGGATTCTTATTTCAATTTCAAATTGATCTACTATTGATCTTTAGTTGATCTACTATTTTTATTCTCCAGGTATTCTGCCAATTATGTAAAACCCTTCACGATAATTAATTATAGAACAAATTTGTCAAAACATGGCAAAAACAGGAATTATGAATAGTGTCAAGGCAACATTTTGTTACGATGATCAGAACCTTGTTGGAATTCAAATGTAGCTAAGGCAGAGCCACAAATACTTGATAAACTAGAACAGTGATGAGCAGCTTGTAGGTTAAACATATGTAGGGCCATAAACAGTTCTAGCCAGTCTAACCAATGGCAAAGTATAATGGAAGTGCTCGGTCAAAATGTTTCAAGGGTCATGAGGTCCCCCACTCAAGTAGATCAAATTTAGGAAACAGCTTTGTCTGCACTCCCCCGACCACTCAGTAGTTCTGAAGGGTCTAAGTGAGAGGCAGGATTAAAAGTGACTTAAGCCAAATAATAATAATAATAATAATAATAATATAATAATAATAATAATAATAATAATAATTACACAGAGTTCTGACTTTCTTCTTTGGATGAGTTTTGAAGAAAACAGACTACACTTGTTGCACTGCCAGTCAGAACAATGAAAAAACAGGATAAATGAGGCTGCTTTTATCATTTTGTTTCTAGTCATTTTCTAGGTCAGAATTTATCCCTTCAAGCTCCTCGTCTTTGGAGATGATTTTGGGACCACACATAATTTCATCAATGAGTGTGATATAAGCTTTGGGGATACATTTTTTCTTTTATACCTTTAGTGAGAAGAGAGGTGATTGTAAGTGGAAATGATTCTCAGGAAGGATCTGAAATATGCAAAATCTTGGATAAGTGTATCCGTTTACAGGAAGTTGCTCACATAGTGGCATTTAGTGATCTGAGTTCTTATATTTATGGGACACATTACATGGAATATTTGCTCTAATTTGATGTGATAATTACAATGGCTGCCTCTGAGAGTCATATGGTTCTACAGAATTGATGCTTTCAGCTTGGCTACCTGTTTCCCAACCAGCTTTGACTGAACTTTGTTCTTCTTGAATCTTGATACTCTTAGCTAGATGATCTCTGCCATGTGAGTGAGGCGTAAAACGCTGAATCATTACTGAATCACCCTGTTCAGATCCTGCACAGGAAAGCTTGCAGTCCTTTTTCTTCATTAGGACAGAAGTTCAGTATTAGATTAAAGTTTCAATCTTAGACAAAGAATGTCTGTATGCAAAAATGGCAAATAAGGTCAAGTGTCTGTGACCTTTTTATATGTACTGCCCTATGACTGTAAACAGTTTCTGCTAATCTTTAAAATATGATTACTCCCAAACAAAAAAAAATTCATGCAACCCTCAATGGAAACCAACCTTGATGTTCTAACAACATTTCTACCTGGTGCAGTTAACTTTTAAGGGGTATGAAAACAAAATCATGAAGGGTTAGTTAGAACACCATAAAAAGCATAAGGTTTTTGAAAGCATTTATTGAAGAACAAGGTAAGGAGTATTGTCATTTTTTTCAAGCCAGGTTCCCTTTCAGTTGGGAACAGGAAAAAAAAAAGAAGAGTGAAAAGCAGGGGTGGGGAAGTGGGAGTGGGAGAGACACCAGTTACTACTTTCCAAACATTTTGTGTCTGATAAACTAAATGTCCATTTTAAAACCAAAATTAAAACCAAATCTGAGATAAATTCCACTTTAAAATCCCATAATGCCTCAACAAGACAGCATATATTGACTTGTTCAAATAATAAGAGCCATGTGGAAAAGCGGCTTTATGCAAGAAGGTTCCAGTGTGGACCTGCACCCATGAAGTTTGATTTTTAAGTAGCTTCTATACTTCTGTTGCAATATCTGAATAGGTAGATTTGGAGTTCATTGAAAGGGTTGAGTTGTTAGTAATTTTGAACATTAGAACGTTTCTGCCAAGCC